AAAAATACAAACGCATTTTACTTGTAAAGAGTAAAATGCGTTTGTATTTTTTTTATGTAATAGTTCGGCAAACGAGCAGACGGATTACCGGACGGGACGGTAAGCAATCAACGCCGCCCATGAACACCCGCAACGGAGGAGTTACGAGTGCATTGCCGACCTTTTAGAGATAAGAGTTTTGGAGATTAAGAGAGGAGGGATTTGGGGAGGGATCGGGGGAGGGGAAAGATTAGGCCTTCGGTAACCTCACTCACACGGCGAAACACAACAGTGTGGTTGTTTCACGCCGGTTTTCTGTGAAGCCGTGGTATCACTCCGGTCGAGCCGACCCATTCGTGCCGAATCTTGGCTATGTATTATAGGAGTCAGGACTAAAGTTACTACATTAGACAGAAACCGGTCAGCAGCGCTTTGTGATAAACCTGAACCTTTTAAACTGCAATCTCCAACCATCCTGCGAAGCGTGGAGATTACGGTAAACTTTTTAGCGCCCCGTAGTTTTGTTCTGTAAATTTTTAAGGGACGGTGCAAAGCTGATACTGAATTTCTCCATTTTATGGATATTATTATACATATAAAACTTCCTCTTCAATCACACTGTCTATTAAAAAAAAATGCGTTGCGTAGTTTTCAAGATGTAAGCATACATAACATCGATCACTAATTTATTAGTGATCGATGATACATAAGGACAGAGAAAGCTTCTTATAAGGTTGACTGACCAGATTGTCGCCGACTTTATTTGATACCTACCTAAGTAATAAATTTGTCGACATCAGGTTTGCAATATCTCATGGGTAGCACAGTAGAAATATTGTGTAAGAAGAGGAACTTTAAACTTTAGGCATTTGCATTACTGAAACTTTCACAAATTGGTAATATTTTACAAATACTTATTTTTTTCTCTTTAACTGACCATAATTGGGTTGTTTACCCTTCTATGTCTTTTTTGTATTTTTGTTTTTTTATAGGATAGGTCGGCAAACGTACAGACGGATTACTTGATGGTATGCAATCGGCGCCGCCCATGGACACCTGGAACACCAAAGGAGTTACGAGTGCATTGCTGGCTTTTTGGGAATGTAATGATTTCAGGTCAAAAACAATAAAACACAAAAACTCAGCCTATATATTTTATTTCATTATACATAATTTGATATTAGATTTTCATATAAAATGCATACATTTATATACAATACGGTAAAAATTATCATTCACTCATTCATACCTACATTTGATTCCATTCAATCCTGAATCATTCAATTGAAGGTCATTTCTGTATAAATACTACATTTCTGGGTGAAGTTGGGTAACAGTCAGATTTTGAAAAATATAACAATTTTAGATTTTACATACAGATACAGCATTTTTCAAAATTCCCTTAAAATGACTTGCCTATATTGCTAGCTACAATAATAATAATACCCAGAAGTCATTCTCTCATTCATTCACTCATTCATTCATTCGTTCGTTCAGAGTGAATGAACGATTTTGTCATGTGTTTTGAAGCTTGGATAGCTTTAACCTGTACATTTATAGTTTTTAAACATATTTTACTTTTCATATTTACAATGTATGAGAAAATGATCACAATTTTGCTGATGTGGTTCAACACATAAAATAAAATAATTTTGATTTAAGAATTTCTTAAATAAAGATGCATTTTCCATACCAATTGTGTTACTTATAACTCAATTTAAATGAAAAATACATGTCTTTTGCAAAAGCAGCATCTAAAAGTCCTTGTATTTATTTATAGTCTATCAGTTTAATTATTTAATCAAGGACTGATTTTTCAATGGTTAGATAAAAGTTACATGGGGTATTATTATAATGCTGTCGCGTCAGAATGTTTGTATAAGACAGTGACAGCAACAACTTATATGATTATAGAAAAATCAGCCCTAAATGTACACAAACTTGACATGTCTTTTTATCTAAACTTGCTTAGAAAAATGTTTACAATCACATATTTACCTACATCGATGTTAGCTTATAAACAAAATGAAAATAATCTTTTTGTGTATTTTACACGACTACTTTAATATATACTTCTATACTTATATTATAAAAAGGTAAAATTTGTAAGTTTGTATGTAGGGGGTAATCTTTGGAACCGCTGGCCGGATTGCCAAAATTCTTTCACTGATAGATAGCTTAAAGGTTGCTTTAGGCTATAAAACATCGCGCTACGATTAAATGGAGCTGAGCACCGCGCGTGCGTAGCTGGTATAATATAAAAAGACATACCAAGATTGCTTACCTACCTTTAATTAGTTACCTAAACAGACCGATGGACCATAGTTACTTAATTTAATATTAATTAATTATTTAGGTACCTATCTACATAATTATAAGACTTCATTAAGGAGGCAAAGCTCGTCGGGCAGCGCGGTGTCTATTTCATTATACATTACTCTAATGTTTGGGTGAAGGGAAAATCATCGAATGACTTCTCTCGCCCAGGCGGGAGGCAGTGTCAGACTCTTACTGACTAAAAACCCCCCTGTTCCTTCTCCTGCTCTGGGCCGAGGCCGCGGTGCCTCATTGCGCTTACCCCGCAACCCCGGCTGAACTCTTATGTATATGCGACGCTCATCGCCTCCTTAAATAAAGCCAAAAAAACAAATGGGATACGAAATTGCGTTTATGCTATTTCTTTTTTATAACCCTTAATTAAACCTTTGACCGCCATGGTTAATTATAGCCGAGAAACTAAATCTATACTAATATTATAATGCTAGAAATTTGTTTGTTTATTTCAACGCACCAATCTCCAAAGCTACTGGTTGGAATTGAATAATTATTTTTGCTTTTGTTAGTACATTTATTGAGGAAGGCTTTAGAGTATAAAGCATCGCGCTACGATTTGTAGTAGCCGAGCAGCGAGTGAAACTGCGCGACAGAAGCTAGTATACTTTATAATGACGTTTCCTTGTCGTTTTTGCGTATTTGTATTTCGTCTATAGCCGAGAATGGCGGTCAAAAATTACGTGTGTATTTAAATGCATCTATTTTGTATAACTGTTTCAATATTTCTTTTGTAATTTATTTTATTACATTATCAATAAATGTTTTTTTTTAATTGACTGTGCTCTGTGTTTTGTTGATATTTCTATTTGGGGTAAAGGTGGGTTAAGTGTTTCATAAACGGGGTAGGCAGAGGTGTATACTAAAATCCACACATTTTACTTAATTCAAACTAAGTATAAGAAAAATATATAAGAAATCAAATTATAGGCCATTGATATAAATTTATTGAGTATTGAATCTACACGTAAGCTGTATGGCCGTGGTATTAATATTTTCGAGCCGACCTATTTGTGCCGAATAATCGCTCTCCCACATTTGCTACAAATATATCTATTTTAACTTAAGACTTAGCTGTCAAATATTTTTTTAAATTTACTTGACACCTCTGCCTACATATCGAAAGACTTGAAAGCGTGAAGGTTTTATATATATGTATATAGATATCTAGCATAACTAGTTATTTAATAACGTCCAATTTCATCAATGCACATAGATTTTGAATATAAAAATTAAAAGTAGGTAGTTTCTGTGATCTATGTGCCATATAAGTTTATCATGAACTTTTATGAAATTTGTGAAATAAACGCTTAAGCTCATAAACAATTTTTCATTAATTATTAGGTATAGTTCAGTGTACGAACATAGTAATATGTAGTTTTACGTAGACAAGAACTGAATGAACTTATACTGAATGAGTAGGAAGTCGAAACAACCATTCATTCGGTCATTCATGCACTCAATGAACGAATGGAAAGTTATCTAGATTTAATTTTGTGACAAATTAATGATTGCATATTTCAGTTCTTTTTTTAATTGAAATATAATAAATAAAAAATATTAATAATACCAAGTAAAAAAACCATACATAATAAATATGCAAATAAGCCCATGGACGCAGCGCCCGGGAGAGTGTCCTCGTAAAAGGATACGCCCTCAACTGCACCCGCATAATAACCATACATAAAGAAGACATTTTGATGGAGTTAGACGTTTATTTATACATAAATATGTTCAAGAATTTTCGTTGTTTTAGTTATTTATATATTAAAATAAACTGTACAATATGTACATTACATTATAAATGTATGTCAATGATCTCACATTAAAACAACAAAAACCATGTTCAAACCGACCAATATTTGACATAAACTTATATTTTTTTATTATTTAAATGTCCTTGAGGAGCACCGAAAAGAGTTGACTGTCGAAATTATAATAATAAAAAAAATAAAAATCTCTGAATCAATCTTGACCAAGAGAAAGTATACAATGAATGTAAAAAAAAAACATTTGCTTAATAGAAATTGGGCTTAACTCAAAAAAAAAGTATTTGAACCTTAAAAATTATGTTTCAACAATAAGGTTAAAGTTTGAAACATTTTCTTTTATGAGTTAGTTCTGTTTTCTATTAAACATGCGTTCTGTTTTTCTGTTTTGAATATAATAATTTGAATTTATTTGCTAACTATTAATTGCGATAAATAAAAAAAATATACGTTCTTCTTAAATAAATCAAAACTGATTAAAAATACTTGGTCATGTCATGTCTACCTTAATAATACATATATATATATATCATGTAAGAAAAACAAAGGTCACCACAGAATTTTAAACACCTAGGTTTTGATTCATATTATTTATTTATTGTACAATATAAAATAATAAACTACACTTCAGTACTTAATTTATTATTTCTATATTCTTACATTATCCTTAAAAAAACAACCGGTTGTTATCAACCGGTTAAAAAATAACCAAGCTGTTATTTTTTGCTGATTAATAATAAGTGGTTGCTCTTAAAACCATTCGTTTTATACATTAAAGCATAGACTTATCAGTCAAAAAGTTTTTCTTAAGCCACTAAAATTGTTGGTTACATAATGATTGGTTGCTGTGAACCTTTGGTTACTTCGGAAACCACGAAGTAAATGCTTAAGCTAATGGTTTTAACACCTTAGCAAATGGAAGCTCCACTCAAGTGACTTTGTTGAGCAGGTAAAAAAAGAACATATACACGGTCAAATTGAGAACCTCCCTCCTTTTTGGAAGTCGGTAGCGAAGAAATAGTAAAAAAGACAGGTGGTTATCGAATCAAAAGTAGGGCTTCCAGTCGCGGGAGATGAGAATGAGCACTGCTTTTCAGGACTGTGTATCAGACCCGTGTCTGGAAGCCCTATTCAAAAGCGATTGGTTGCGAAGAAACCACTGATTATAAAATGAGTGGTTACAACATAACGTCTGGTTGCTGGTTGATAGTAGGTGGTTAAAACCTGCCCTGTTCTTTGGATTCAGCTGCGAATTTCCTAACGTGTACTATGTAGTCTAACATTACTGTGGCAAATGCTGCGTCTAACACGAACTGAGGTATTTTACCTGGAAGAGAGAAAAACAAAATAAATTTACATAATTGTAATTTTATTCGGAAGTCATTTTTTTATGTGATATCCACAGAAAACGATCAGATGAATTACATGGTGGTAAGCAAACGGCGCAGCCCATGGACACCCGCAACACCAAAGGTGTGACGAGTCCGTTTGCCATAATTAACCTATTCACTCGGGTCATGAAGACTCCCAGGTTATATCCTTCGGGGAACACAGGCTCCGAAAAGAATTCCACTCGTTAGCTTCAGTTTATTTGGCAAAATGCTAAATTAAGCAGATATGTCGTCAAAACAATGAATGAAAGTATGATTATATTTAACAATTCATTGTGTAGAAGAGTCGAAAGGAATTTATTTTTGACTTGCGGTCCGGCCCTACTTCGCCCAGGTCCAACTACCTCCCTAACGGCGAAAGGTTCCCCATAAGCCAAATGTCCCCTCTACTTTTCAAAAATTTTCTTTTCTACCAACAATTACAAACACAAAAAAAAGAATAGGTAAAATTGGTCGAGGCGTTGTTGAGTTATTCGCTTACTAACACATTTTGCCATTCATTTGTATACATAAATATTTAGAAAAGTACTCAATTATTACTCAATTAAAGAAGCTTTGACAGGTCACAAGATGGCCGACAGTACGTCTAAGATGGCGGATAACCTCAAAAAAGACTCACCTTTTAGATCGCAACACATGAGCCATTGGAAGACTGTATGCGTTTCTATCTTGCCACCAGCGGTCTGAACTGTGCGAGGCTTCAGGAACCAACAGCCAACCTTATTCTGACCTCTGGAAATTAAAGAATGAATTATTAATTAGTAGATTTTGTGTGCTGACGTATTGACATCACTTAATGGCTTGGTTCTAAATTTTTAAGTTTTATTTATTCCATATTGACATAGTCTACAAAAAAGGAATCACAAGTGTGTTGCCGACCTTTTGGGGATTAGGGATTTGGAGATTTAGGGATTTAGAGATTAAGGATTTAGAGATTTAGGGCTTTATAGATTTAGGGATTTGGAGATTTAGGGATTGAAGCAAGGGTGGGATTGGGCATCCGGTAACTCATCACACGTCGAAACACAACGCTGTTGTTTAATGCTGGATTTTTTGTGACGCTGTGATATCACTCTTGTCGAGCCGACCCATTCGTATCGAAGCACGGTCTCCCACCTCGAAGACAGGACTTACCTGACGAGATCCCTATGCGGCGGATACCCGGGCACAGTGACGCTGACTCCACTGCTGATGTAGCTGTAGGGGTCAGACGTCACGACCTGGCCCTCCTTGTTCAGAGGAGCGGTGCACCGAAGAATCACGAAGTCCCGAGGGGCAATGATACCACGACCTCCTCCGGCAGTCACTTGGTAGGATAAATCTATGCCTGGACCTACTTCCTGTAAAAGAAGAAAGAATATTGAATCTTTAAGACGTTATAACTTTGTTTGTTTACAATGAACGAGTGAGTGAGCAAATGAACGAATGAAAGAATTATCTATTGATGATAATTTTTTATAATTTCGTTTAAACTAACTTTTAAATATTGGCGTTACATAATATTAACAACATAATATTTAATGGGTATATTACCGCGAAAAGTTATGGTTTAATGTCAAGCCTTCTAAGGTGTTTAATTAATTACTTATTACTTTTTGCGTTAATACCCGGTTAATAATATGTTGTTGAGTACGAGTGAATGAACAATTGAATGAATAAACGAATTATTTGTTGCTGATGTAATAGGTCTCTTTACCTATGAAATTGCCGTTTTGCATGAAAAAATTTAAACGATTTTTTTGATTTGAAATGCGATGAAAATGTAACACTAATCAATAAACAAATGACTACTTTTGGAAATAGAATCCCATGTTTTTAAAACAAAATTAATTAGCCTTAGCCTAACAAAAACTATTTTGATTTGAAATGGCCAGTACTGCAGAACGGCAATTTCACAGGTAAAGACCTATTATGTTTTTATTAATATTGAATCTTTAAGAGGTAACAATTTTGATTGTTTACAAGAAACGAGTGAATGTAGCAATGAATGAATGACCGAAATCGCTTTTAATTATGTATTTTTATAATATTGATCCAGAGGTAAATATTTTTGTTTGTTTACAATGAACGAGTGAATGAACAAATGAATGAATGAACGAATTAACTGTTAATTGATGTATTTTCCTATTTTCCTATTGATCTTGAGGTAATAATTTTGATTGTTTACAACGAATGAGTGAACGAACATATGAATGAATGAACAAATTAATTATTGTTTATGTATTTTTTATTGGTTAGGACTGCAAAAAGTCAGTCTTTGTTGCACGTGTCCATGGGCGTCGCTGATCACTTACCATCAGGTGATCCGTCTGCTCATTTGCCTCCTATTCCATAAGAAAAGAAGTTGTACTATACCTTTATAAGTTCACTCTTCAATATGGTAGGATTCCATTCAGGTAGCTTTGTGATATTGTCCTTGAACTCTTCGTACAAAAACTTGGGAGGAGCTTCCACGATACCCTGAAAAATAAAACAGAATTTTAGGGCATATTATAACAAGCTAACTGGCTTTGCAAGGGTGAAACGCTGATACTAAATTTCTCCACTATTTAATGGATGTTATTATACATATAAACCTTCCTCTTCAATCACACTATCTATTAAAAAACCTCATCAAAATCCGTTGCGTAGTTTTAAAGATTTAAGCATACATAGGGATATAGGGACAGATAAAGCGACTTTGTTTTATACTATGTAGTGATGATATGTTTTCTAAGTTTATTATTTTAGACACCGTCTCATATCATATGGGTTTATAGGTCCCGCTTTTCAATCCTGGCAAGTACTAATCTTTTTTCGACTTGTATATGTACTTTGTAAGACACCACTGACATACGGTAAAGAAAAACATGGTGAGGAAACCTGAACTTGAAATTTTTATCGGCCTTGAGCTAGCGTCGTGATTAATGCTCAAACCTTCTCCGTGTGAGAAGAGGCCTTTGCTCAGCAGTGGGCACTTATAGGCTGATGATGATGAAATAAAAAAGATTGTTTATAAAAATGTAAATATATTATCAGGCCTAAGTAACCAATTTTATTAATCTATACATTATTATTATTTTAAAACTATCTACTAGTATAATTATTATCAACTAGAAAAAGGACTTAATCATTGAAACAATGAAGTAAGCAACAAAAATCATGATAACATGTAGGTAATCCTATTAAAAGAGGATTAAAATATTAATTAAAATTAAAATAATTATCTAAATCCGTACTGAGGAGTTGTAATAATTAATTTTGATAAACTATCAATCAGCTACGCCTAAACAAAAATGTAAATTTATTGTAAAAAAATGTAGATTAGGGATTTGGAGCTGTGGTTGTTTCACGCCGGTTTTCTGAGGCCGTGGTATTACTCCGGTGCCGAAGCATGGCTCTCCCACACTTATACTAAACAACTATAGAATTATATGTATGTATAAATACTTACAGTAAACCTGTAAACTTTTCCGAATTGTTCAGTCTTTTTGGACTCGACGAGGTCGCCTTTAGCGCCCTTCTTCTCAACGCTCCAGTTAGATAGGTTGACTATACGCCATGCGTTCTGCATGCTTTCGTGCGCTTGCGCCTTATATTCGTCGATCTGTGAACAATGGAAATGAAATTTTAAAGTTGGATCGCAGAACACGATTGCTTTTTGTTTAGGGGTTGGAGACCGATGGGAGAAGGGGAAGGATTGGGCCTCCGGTAACTTCTGTTATACGGCGAAACACAACGCTGGCCCGCCAGTTTTCCGTGAGGCCGTGGTATCACTCCGGTCCGGAATAATTTTTTTGATATGTAAGATTGAGCACGAGTGAATGTGTGTGAGAGAGAGGACATAAGTGAGATAGAGAAAGGATAAAATAGGATTTGAAAAAGCAAGATGGCGTGGGGAGGTTTGTGTTCGAAAAATGAAAGACGATTGCATTTTCTTTGTCAAAAAAAACATGAAAGCACTTAAAATATTCAAAAGATATCAAAGTAAGTTTGATAGAAATCAATAATACTTATGTATATTTTTTTATCAAACTAGAAGTTACGCGATAATATAATTCTAATTACATCCGCAAAATTATTATGAGATAAAAAAATGAATTGGAACATTGGAACAGTAGGTAATCTATGTAGAAATGGAAGATAATAGTTATACTTAATGCTATGGTGCTATGTTTAAAAAATCAAGGACAGCTCGCGGCCATTTTTTATTGAATCTGAGTTGGTTAAGTCAATGCATGACTCGGCATTTTTTATCTGTGCTAAGCTAATGTATGCAGTATTATAAAGATGGCGTGCCAAGCATAGACTAGACAGTCTCAAAGTAAGAACTAAGTAAAAAAAAATATCGAAAAGTATTTTTTATTTCTGTTAACCGGTAGTTCCCGGTTTTCCTTGCCTTCATTTTTAACACATTCAGTGCCCCCGACGCGTATGTGCGTGCGAGGAAACGCACATACGCGTCGGGGGCACTGAATGTGTTAACCGACTTCCAAAAAGGAGGATAGTTCTCAATTCGACCGTATATATGCTTTTTTTATGTTTTATTTCGAAAATTTCACCGTGTTTCGTGCTAACCACTAGGTAGGTAGTTTTCTCGGTCAAAAATAAATTAATTTGACTCTTAAATACAATAAACTATTAATATACCTATAATCACACTCTAATTCAGTGACATGACGATACACTTAATTGACATTATTTTCTTACAAATTTTTCAGTAATCCGCATACATAAAATAGAGTAAGTAGAGTAATAGAGTAAGTGACCTGGTACCTGCCCAAGTGTCACTCGGCAAGCTCCTCAAGCGCGTAGGTATTCTAAGCACATAGGACACTACTGAGATAATGAGGTTTCGTTTATGTGAAAATAAGTTGTGTCTTATCGCTCTGGGATTTTGGACTATAACGAAAAAACATTAAGACGTCGTAAGTTGCGATTTCATACAAAAATATTTAAAGATGTCATTTGTAACTACGAGATTTCTAAACCGAAAACTGACCCCAAAGACAACAAGTATCTTAAGTTTCATAAGTGAAAAGAAAAACTTACAATAATAAATCACATCTCCATTTATTCTTTTTACGAATTTCTAAACATTTTTCTTTATGTAATTGAATATAAATAAATATATTCTACCCATTTTCGCCTAAAACACAGGTTGTCCTAGTTCAGGCACCCAATATTATGAACTTGCTATAGCTTTAAGCAAAACTGTATATTCTAGATTATGTGTTCTTCAATAAATTTTATTAATTATTATTTTTTATTATATTATAAGACATAAAAAAGAAGACAAAATATGATGAAAGATGAACATGTTCCACATTTCGTACAAAATTCATAGAAAAGTATTTTTGACATTTCAATTAAAAAGTATTGAATTTGACAATAGTACCCATAAATACCGGATTTCCGGATATGTGACAGTGCGATTTACTTGTACATATGTATGTATCTATATAATGTAACAGGCATACTATACTATCTTATCAATAGCAATAATAACCTAGTTACATACAAAACTGTATTATCTGTGAGGTCTGAATCCAAGGACAATCTCAGCTATCCGATCCGAAAATAGGCTATAATTATAAGCCATATTCACAGCTTTTGGTGTATAATTTATTACATGTAAATAAGGGAAATAGTATTGTCATTTTTTCTAACCAAAGTCGTAATGAAAAAAAAAGAGCATTCCAATATTTTTTCGCGGGAATCTTAAAACGCGGGAAAATTAATAAAATATCTTCAGGCAGGTGGAGTGCGGACTTGGCTATCACTGAGCTGATAGTTATGTCGGCCATTGAGAGAGGAGGTTGGACAGAGGGCCTGGTAAAGGGAACGAATAGAAGGAGTATTAGTCTATTACGATTCAGACAAGACGATCTTAAAATTGAATAAGATATTTTTTTAAAGATTTTATTACCCAACTACCTATTACTGTATACCAAATAAAATTAACGATTAAGAAAATTTCCTGCCGTTTCGCAGTTTCCAAACCCTAAATATATTTATGTTCATCATATTTATATTTATCTTAGAAATATCGTCCGCATACATAATTTTATCTGTGTACAGAGCAGATAAGATGTTTTGCAGTTTTAATTAAATAAATTTGTTTGCTTGGTAATTACTATCGTCTTACTAATTAACGTAACAAGCCAAATAATATATTTTTGTAAACTATATAAGTACAGGCTTTGTTCAGTCTGGGAATTGAATCAAGGATTTTCATTTTAACTGGCGCGTTAGTGACCACACAACCAAGAGGCAACAGCTGACTACTATTATACTATTTCGAGGACGCTCGTCTCATTTCGAGCCATACCGGGGCTCATAACTATTTTCGTTTGGCTATATTTTGAGAAATAAACTACTCTTGCCCAGTTCTTTAAGAGGGCAAACGAGCAGGTGGCCTGATGGTAGATCTTCAAAAATACCTGAAAAACGACTTACAGTAAGCCATTCAGCGTGAAACTCCTCTTCCTGAGCGCTGTTGAAGAGCAGCTTCATCCAGTTGGAGACTGAGAAGCCAATCTTGGACAATTTACTTTCAAACTCTTCTGGACTCTTCACTTTTTCCAGTTCCTCCACATGCTTTTCGATCTCTGGATCGTTTAGCGTCGGTGGCAAAGCCGATGTAGAAGCCGCCATTTTGATTTTTTTTTATGAATTGTCAACTGTCAACTGTCACTTTTTTCTATATTGTTTTTAGGTAGGGATTACGGTTTAATAAATGCGTTATTGTAAATATAGGGAGGTACGTGTGTTTTGAAATATTTTTTTTGAAGATTTATAATTTTTTTTGATATAGAGTCAAATTGCCAGAATATTTATTCTGGCAATTTGACTCAAAATAATGATGACGTCATCAAGTTAATATGTCATGTAAAATAAACATCATTCTTAACCCTCCAATGATATAAATTAGTCAAGAAATTAAAAATAAACTGTCTTTTGACTGAGAGGGGCAAATCGTCAAACGACTTCTCCTGGGGAGTGTCAGACTCTTACTGACTAAAAGCCACCCCGTTCCTTCTCCTGCTCCGAGAAGAGCCCACGGTACATTATTACTGGAAATAAACTAACCAAAATATCGCATTTTATTACGTTTGATAACATAACTCTGTCACAAAAAAAGAAAGAGTTTTTATTATCAACAAAAAATAAACAGTGGCTTACTATATTCGCAATGAATTGACCTTTGGACCGCGTATAATTGATGTGTGGACATTGATATTGAAAAACAAAGGAGTAACTGTGTTATAAGTACTTATAAGCGGGTCAAGGTGAAAACAGTTGATAACTGAGTCATTTTACTGCATAGGTACATAATGCTAGCTTCCGCCCGCGGCTTCGCCTGTGTGGCAATGTTGATAAAAAACACCCTATGTATTAATTTAGCTGTGAGGTAAGTGCAATGAGGCACCGCGGACTCGGCAGGAGAAGAAACGGGGGCGTTTTTAGTCAGTAAGAGTCTGACACTTATACCGCGTACATCGAGGGATTGGAACAGTTTGCCGGCTGTAGTCTTTCCGTCCGAATACAATTTAGGTGTCTTCAAGGCTAGAGTGAATAGGCTCTTAATAAACTAGTGCGCCTTACCATCAACGATTGCATCACTGCTTACCATCAGGTGGGATCGCAGTCAAGCACTAGTTTATTGCAAGTAAAAAAAAACTCTCGCTCGACGCTGGACGAGAGAAGTCACTCGATAATTTTACCCTCACAAAAAAGGGTATTACCTATCTACATACCAAATTTCAATGAAATCGGTCCAGCCGTTTTCGCGTGGGAGACAAACAAACATGCATCCATACATTCTCACAAACATTCACATTTATTAAATTAGTAAGATGCGGTAACCGCTGCTTTATCCTACTATATACCCATAAGAGGGGGTTGTCATAATCACCTCGGGCATGCGGGTTGGAGATCAGCAGTTTAAAAGGTTAAAGTTTATCAGAGAGCGCTGTTGTAGGGTCTCTGTATACCGTTGTTCCTCTTTTTTTTTAAATCATGAAATGGTTTCTTTTGCCTTGGGTACGAAGCGAAGGGCGAGACAAAAGAAAACATCCCGTGCCGTCATGGTGGCCGGAGGGTAGGGCGCCCGCTTCTCATGCATGAGGGTGCCGGTCCGAAACCTGGCCAAACCAATGTGACTTTTTCAGAGTTATATGTACTTTCTATGATTACTTAGACGCCACTGACATACGGAACAGAACCAAGACTTTAAATTAATTATACCTAAGTTTGAAATCGCTAATCCGTCTTGAACAAGCTTGGTGATTAAGCTCAAACCTTTTCCGTGTGAGAAGAGACTTTTGCTCTTATGCAGAAATGGGCACTTATTGGCTGATGATGTGGTGGTTGCAGTGGATTCTCGATTTCAAACTTTAGAAATTATAGAATTCCAGATTTCCTCACGATGTTTACCTTCACCGTATGTCAGTGGTGTCTAAATAATCATAGATAGTACATATAACTCGGAAAAAGTCACATTGGTACTTGTCCCGGAGCTGCACCGTCATGCTTGAGAAGTCTTAACCTCAAGGCTACCATGACAATCTTAGACACTGAAGTCAATTTTAGACTGTGTGGTTA